TCACGAATTTAACAGCTTCGCCAGAAATTGCAGTTCGGGAAGTCAAGGCTGCTGCAGTGAGCCAGCTGCAGATAATTCATACAAAGAAATATAGCGTGACAATCAGGTTTGCCACAATTACTGCTTCTTGTTAAATGTTGACCTAGGATCTCACTTCGTTTTGCCTTCAATCAGTGCGTGTACACTTTTAAATCTGACGCGTCAAGGTTCATTGACGAAAACGTAATTGAATGAAACACATGGTCTGCGGCGTACGTTTTCATGTCACATGGTTTCTTGTTTTGGAGATACGAACTTGCGAGCGCATGGCTGCGCGCAAGCGACTTGCTGTGCTTGCCGTTTCTCCCCAGTTGAAACCTTTCGCTTCCGGTCCGGAAGGTTCCGGAAGGTTCCAGGAGGTTCCAGGAGGTTCCGGGAGGTTCTCGGAGGTTTTGGGACGGAGGTTCCGAGGTTCAATGGCGTGGCTGGGGTGGCCGCAAGGTTCTGAAGGTTTCATGGACGCTCCAGGGCATAGTTCCGGGGTTTCATGGAACGTTTGGACAGAGTAACCGAGCAAGAGTTCCGGAAGCGTTTGAATTTTCTTGTTGTTGGGGCACCTGGGCTGATTGTTCTAACTTTGAAGCAGCTTGCCCTGTGGCCCGTGGCATTGCTGTTCCGAGCTAGCATCTGGCCAAGCTCCATCCTCCTGTTTCCTGCCAATTCTCCTTTCTTGAATCGGACGAATGCCTGCTCACGCAGATTTGCAACAAGACTTTAAACATTTGCCTAAGAAGGGGGTTGCCCATTTCCAGCCCAGCATCAATGCATTCGGGACGCATCAGACAGGGTTTGTGTTGTTGGTTGGTTTCTGCATTCGTTTTTTGCGCTAACCAGTGAGTGACAGGCTTGTCTCATGCAGCCATGGGCTCCCAACAAAATGCATTTGAAGGGAGCCTTCGTCCAGCCTCCGCAGCTGCAGGTGCACTGCTTGAGTATCTCACTTGATGTCTGTTGTATTTGCTGTCAAAAGGGTGTGTCCTGAGGCGAAACCTGCGGTATGCAGGCGAAGGCTCTGACACGCTGAGCGCCCAGCTTGCTACTTCCAGGCCGAGGCGCGCAAGACCGAGCTTTAGATGGCAAAGTTCCTGGAAGGCCAGAAGCTCAGAAGCTCAGCAGTTCAGCAGTTCAGAGCTGTTTTCCGGCTGAAACACAGAGTCTCGAGAGGCCTCACCTCTGGTGCTTTTGGCGATGAGGCGATCGACTTTTTGCAGGCTGCCTCTCTCTGATCGGACGCCAGGACCCCCGCAACCTCAAAGCTGCCGCCCCGCTTGCGGGCGCGCGAGGTGCGCGAGGCTTGGCCCGTGCCCTGCCTTGATCTTATTGGCATTGGCGAGGATAGAGCCCGGCAAAGAGAACATGCCAATTTGCCAAAGGCTGGCATGGGCACTCGACAAACACCTCACATCCTTGCATCAGGAACCCGTGCTGGTTCCGATGGATGTGCCCGGAGAGGCGCATTCGGGGTACACCTTATCCAGGCTCTGACATTGTGACTCAATGGGCGATTCCATGCTGGCCTCCAGCACCAGGGATGAGCCCACAAGCTTACAGACAGGCAGAAAGCGGTCAAGAGGGGCAACCTAAAACCAATTTGGGGTTCAGAGTTCAAGTAGTCTCTGCATGAAGTCTTCAGTCTTCTGTCCTCTTCAGTCCTCTTCGGTCCTCTTCGGTCCTCTTCGGTCCTCTTCGGTCCTCTTCGGTCCTCTTCGGTCCTCTTCGGTCCTCTTTGGTCCTCTCCGCTTAGTCGTAGTTTAGCAGTTGTTTAGTATTTAAGCTATGGCAGCGCAACTACGACACAGCCACCAGCCATCTTATCCCATATCGTTGTTAATAGCTTCAGTGTTTCCCCGACGCACTGCGAAGCGCGCTCTGTTTCCAGGTCCCTGGATTCCGCTTTAGCTTTTTCGACTGCTTTCACGTTCCCCCAACAACTCACCTTTTGCAGTTCTTAGGCCCTTTGCAGCGCCAACAAAATGCTTGCCTTGAGCGGAGTCACCTTCAACTCCTGATTCCCACGCTCACTGTGCCTGGTTTGTTTTCAGCCTATCATACCCCAGACGGCTCAATGCAAGCTGTCTCTCAAGGGGGAACAAAAGGAAACTCTTAGGAAAATGGTGTATAAGATGGCTGTTGCTTGTGTCTTAGTTGCCCTGCCTACGGTTTGTTTGTTTAGATGTTTGAGGTTCCTCCCCTTTTTCTTTTCTGGGTGGGGGATAATTTTGGGAACACTTGTTTGAATTGCCGACTTTACATTTGAATGAGCCCGAGGCCAATGAGTCCAATGAGGCGTTCCTCATGCTCAAGCCGCATGCGAGCACGGTGGCATCCTTTCTGCCCGGCCTATGAAATTGCGGTTCGACCCAGGCGAAGGCGCGCGAGGCTGTTCGAAAGATACTGGAGGACAATGGCATTGCGGTAGTGAAGGCCCGTCTCGAGTCGCGGCTTTGCTCTTGAGACACATTGAAACACATTGAGACAGAGAGTCAGGATGGCAGCATCAGCGCGGAAGATGTCCGGCAAAGGCGTCTTAGCGTTTTGGCGCTTCGACTCGACGATCCGATATCCGTGAAGCAATCGAGGCGCCTGATCGATAAGCACTACGGGCGCGTGGCCCAACTGGCCCTGGAGGTGTTTCCACAGGCTCTGGTGGTGCCAAAGAAGGGCCAAGCAGCTTTCAAGGAGCTTCGCTGCTTCGCTCATTTGTTGTTCCTCGTTGTCCCGAAACCCGAGTCCAATTTGGATTCCATTTCGAGCTTTGAAGGAGTGCTTCGGCTTGCCCTGGAAGCAAGCCATGGAGAAGGACAGGTTGCCTTTCACAAGTCGGAAGTCGGAACATGTCGCAACGTTCACGATAGGACTTGGTGGTAAATGCCGACCAGGCCATGAAGAGGCTCAATCCCATGACATGCCCCGACCCAAATGCCCCACGCATCATGCAGTTCACAGGCTGGGTTGGACATCCGACGAGCTTGGCACGCGGTGGGACGAATTGAAGTCAGGCCATGTTCCATGAATCTCTTTGTTGTTCTTGGCATTTCTGTCGCAGCAGAGGCATTGCCGCTTGCCCTCTGTCAGGTGTTGGGAAGGTGAAATTTGGAGGCGGCTTCTACTGCGGATGTCTCTCTGGGCTCTACGCTCCCCCCTCAGCTCTACATGGCCGGTCAACGGTCCTTTGTGGTTGAGGATAGGGACTGTCACCCCATAGGGGCTTTCAAGCATGACTATGGCCAGGAGTTTTGACCAACACATACAGGCTTGTATCATTGACGCAACCGAGATTATCAATGGCTTCTACATGGCGATGCGTGACAATTATTTTCGGACGGGCAGGCACGGTGATGAAGAGGGCAAGGGTAGACATTGATACTCATACATGTGTAGTTCGTGTCCTACCGCAGAAATTTGGGGAGAGTGACTCGTGTCACATGTGACATGCGCATGTGACTCATATGCGATGCAGGTCTGTGGAGTGGTTTTGTCTGGAGTGGAGGGCCTCGAAGATGTCGTGGAAGAAGTGCTGTGCCCAGTGCCGGAAGGTTGAGCCGTGGGCTTTGGATTGGCCATATTGGCCTCAGGTTTCGCGAAGAGGTAATCGGTGAGACGGACCCGGCAGTTGCCCATCCTCACTCCCTGCGCCGGCACTTCTTCGAAAATTGGGAGAGGCCAGAAACCCCAGACATGGTGTGTCACTGTGTCTCATGTGAGTGTCTCCGCTGAGTCCAATGCAAGGCTCGACTTACCTTCTGAACCCCATACTGGGGAAAATTGCATCCATGGCGCCGCTAGCCCCTTGGAGGCGGACTCAACGGACTCAACGGACTCAATGGATTGGATCCCCTTCGCCGAGCCTCCGGTTCCCTGTTCGAAGGCCACGATGGAGAGGAGGAACTGGCTCCACGACGTCGGCTACTCCGACGCCTTCTGGCAACTGCTGCATGAAGCAGGCGCCTGCATGGCGTGGGCCGAAAGAAGCAAAGGAAGCAAAGGAAGCAAAGGAAGCAACGGAAGCAAGATAGAAGCTCACGGCTCAGGCGCCACCCCGGAGCATCTGGAGAAATGGAGGCTGAACCCTGTCGTGCGGGCCCCAAGGCCCCAAGGCCCAAAGGCACCGATCGAATGCTCGACGCAGGTTACTGTTGGAGAGAGGCAGGGACTTTGATCGGGGAGCAAGCATTTGTTTGGCTGATTGGTTGGCCTCTCCTTTTTGTCCAGACCCTAGACCCTAGACCCTAGACCCTTTGAGCCTAGATAGGCCCTGAACTGTCTTTAGAGGCCCTTGAGCCTAGACCCTCTTTTGCAGAGATGCTTGTGTCGGAGATGCCGCGAGGACTTGCGCACTCTTCGACCACGTTGAAAATTTAGTCCTCGCACTTAGGGCATGCAGGGACCCCAGGGAGTGTGGCATGTGCCAAAAGCCGAGGATTGCTTCTCCTGCGTGGAGGCTCTGCAGCCCTTGCTGCGATCCTGAAGCCCGTGAGTTTAGCTGGAAATCGGAGAGACAGCGATGGCGTTTCGAGCTTTGAGCTCGGCCTTTCAATTGCACGCACCTAGCGAGAGAGTTGGCAGAAACAAACCAGATCTTGAAGTTGCGTTGCGCGAGGGTGCAATAGCTTTCACCGGACAGCGCCGTCGAGGGTTCCAAGAAGGCATGTCCGGGATCAGACGTCTCACAGGCGAGGCCACAAATTCGCAGTATTCAGCATGGCCGTTGGCCACTTTCCGCAAGAGCCCCTGTCGGCTTCGTGTTTCTGCGCAATGGCAAGCAAAATCTCTTTGCTTTGGGATCTTTGGGCGGTTTGCGGGTGCACCCGGTGCAGCCGGTGCAGCTGGTGCAGCCGATACGGAGCAGTGCGCGGTGCGACTGGCGTTTGGCTCTCAGGGCTGCGCAGGCGCCGGGCGCATGGCGGGCGATGGGCTGCGCAGCAAGCATCGGCCGCCCTGCAGGGAGCCCAAGACACCCGATGACCCGATTCCGCACGAATTCGAATTCCATTCGAGAGGAGGAGATCACAATTGGGGTGATCACCCAAAAGCGCAAGGCGCGGAGCCCTCTTTCGAGCAAGTTCCCTTCAAACCTCCAGGGCAAGCAGGGAGAAAAGGCCGACTCTGTGAACCGTGAGTATCAGGCAAGCTGCGCTGGAAGCTTGGCCCATTGGCATCGCCTTGCAGTCTTCTCAGGAGAAGATCGAGTTTCTGCTGACGGTGCCACTCTTTCAGCGGCTCCCACAGGTGCCAGATGCCAGATGCCGGATTCCGCCACTACGCCGAATTTCAGGATGAGCATCCCGTCGTGGCTTCCGTTTGTGAGATCTGCAGATTCAAGCGGATGGACCCCATCATCAGGAGAGCCATGAAGCAATAAGGCATAAGGCAACAGGCGGGCCCGCAGGCAGGGAGCACGGGGAGAAGAGTTCTTTGTGATCAAGTCTGGGCAAGCAGACGTCTACGCGGCGTGCTGAGCCACTTTTTGCATGCCAGATGATTCATGGTTTTCGTCAGCTTGATGGTTTGCCACTGTTTGGCATTTGAGCTTATTTGAGGCCGCCAAGACTGAAGGGAAGCAGGAGAAGATCGCATCTTTGAAGGTGGCATTGCATGGGAAGAAGAGCACACGTTGTGTACCGCACGTGAGGCGGGAGATCACTTTGGTGAAGGTGCCTTGCTGCGAGGCTCGAACATTGAGTGAAGCCGCCTTTTGCGAGCAATGGCATGAGTTGTGTGCAGATGAGCCCCGCACTGCAACCATCGTCGCGATGCTCGCGCCCCAGTTGCAATCGGCGCAAGGTTTTGGTGTTCTCTTCTGCAGGAGCGAGGTGCAAGCCCTGAAGATCAAGCGCTCCGACTTCCAGGCGAGGGGCTCGCGGGACCCGACCGGGACCCGACCGGGACCTGACAGGGACCGGGACCTGACCGGGACCGGAGCGTTAGCTCAGTCGCTGGGCTTGCACAAGAAGCTGAAGTTTGGCCGGCGAGCAGCGGTGAGCTCCAACAAGCAGAGCTTCGACAAAGCCAAGGACACCAAGGACACGACTGTCTCGGAAGCTCGGAGTGTTGCACAGAGGAGCCCACCCCAAAGACGGATGTTGACAAGCAGCTTATTGCCCAGGTCGGAGCTTAGCATTTGGAAGTTTGGACCTGTGAATTGCTAGGCAATGCGCACAAACGAGAACTTGTGGGTGATTGGGAACTTGGAGGACAAGATCCCAGCGATGACTGCAGTGATGTGGAAGGCGCCCGCTCTTTTCAAGGCTTCCTCAACTTGAAGCCTATTTGCGAGGAGTACGTGAAAGCGGGGAAGAGGCTCATTACGGAAGGTGACATGGAGGCATTGGGCTCAGCCTGTGCCCGTGCCCTGCCACGTCACGCGAGCGCCAGTGGGCCAGGCGGATTTCTTCTACGTCGTGCAGGAGGGCAAGTTCGAGATCACGGTCCGCGAGGAGCTGATGCGTGACTGGCCCGCGCCAAGGCGTTACACAGCACTGTTTCTGGATTCGGTCTCGAGAGGAGAAGCTGCAGGGCCTGGGGATCTTGAAAGGCCCGCAGAACTACCTTGCCCGGCCCCCGGTTGGCCGACTTCGCCGTCCATGGCCGAGCTGAATGTCTGAGGTGGTGGGTCAGTCGAGGAAAGGCGACGGGCGGGCGGCTATGCTAGCGTAGCGGGGTCGTGGATGACTCGTGGATGACTCGTGGTTTTCCTTTTCAATTGCTTCAGCCCGCAGTGCCTGGCTCGAGGCTCGAGGCTCGGGGCTTTATCTGCCATGGCGAAGCGGGCCAGGACGGAACACTTCCCGTCCATCTCCAAGATCCAGTTTGAAGGCCCGCAAAGCATCAATCCCTTGGCCTTCAAGTACTACCAGCCCGATGAGGTGATCATGGGCAAGAAGATGAGGCGCTATCAAGAAGCTATCCACGTCTTAGATGTCTTGCCCTTTTACAAAAAATCGGAAAGGTCTTCTTCAGTCTTCCTCTCGTGCAAAACCGGTCTTCTTCAGTCTTTTAGAGTCTTCCTCACTCGTGCAAAACCGTGCCCAGGGATTGGTGCAGATTCGCAGTGGCCTGGTGGCACACCTTCAACGGGCAGATGGGGACGGATCCCTTCAGCAATGTCAAGACGCATCTGAGACCTTGGGATGTAGACGCCTCAATGGACACCTTCCTCACCCGCGTCGATGTGGCGTTTGAATTCTTCACGAAGTACCCTGGTGCGCACTTCATAGGTTCGTGTATTGCACCCGTCGCTCCGTCGCTCGATGTGCTGCCTGTGTCTTGTGAGGCTCGGCGTGGACTACTATTGCTTCCATGATGTGGACGTCGCCCCGCAGGGAAAAGACCTCAAAGAGTTTCAGGCAAATCTGGACACCATTTCAGACAAGCTGTTGAGCAAGCAGAAGGAGACCGGTGTGAAGCTGTCGGCAGCCCAAAGAGATTCGGTCACTTGCAACACTTGCTGCCGAGCGTGCACCGAGGCTGTGGTCGACCCAGAACCTGTTTTCGCACCCACGCTACAAGGATGGGGCTGCAACAGCACCCAACTTTGACTCCTTCGCCTATGGCTGTGCTCCTTGGATGTGACATGTTCCGGATTCCGGCCGCACCGCGGCCGCACAGGCAGGGCGCCAAAGCCATTGTTGCTTTCAGCTCCACCTTGCATGAGGGGTACTCAAGAACTACTGAACTAGACTGAAGCACATGGAATTCTGCATGCTTTGTGCAAGCCAAGCTTTTAAACTGGAAGCATTACTGCATCCCCGAATCGAGTGCTCAACGCTGCGTCGTAGCTAGAATGAATGGAACGAGCGGAATGTGCTATATATATATATATAGCTGTTACCCCCTGTTAAATACTACATGCTTCTCGAGCAGTACAGTTGGGCTACATCCGCTGCCCATACATCCCAAGGCCGTGAGCCTATGTACAGACCTGCCTTAGTACAGCTACAGTAGACAGTACATCATTGCCCAGAGGAAAACAACTGCGCTTCACTTCACACACAGGTCATCACATCAGGTAATTAGGTATACAGTTGCTCCAAGTTTAACATGGTAGCGGAGCGGTGATCCCTGGTACACGATCCACACACACTATCCAGGGTGAGCTCCAACACGCACCCACAGGTTCAGGCATACATTTACACACCTAGAAAGATCTGGCGGCCTTTCCATACAACACGCAAGGAACGGCGGCCCAACAACAACAAGAGCAACAGCATCAGCTGGAAGCAATTCACAAGTACAAGGTAGCACCACCACGATTCACAGGAGAATGCAACATGTTCGAAGAATGTACGGGCTACAAGACCCTTCATACAACAGACTGCTGAGCACCCACAGCTGCCAGCTACAAACGGCCAACTTGAGACATTCACAAGCAGTAGCAGAGCATGGATACAACTGAGCAACAACTTACACTACATCTTGGTGAGCGCACGGCGGCCACTACACCTGAGATACTCCATACCACTTGGCACACGAGGCATTGGGTACCTAACAAGGTTACTCAAACCACAGCTTGATGAACAGAAGAGAGCTTTACAACATGGGAGTTTCAACTCACCAGCATACACACGACCAGACATCAGCTATGGAGCAAAAGAGCTAGCAAGATCACTACAAGCACCAACACGACTTGACAACAAGAAGCTCAAGCGCATGATAAGGTACCTTAAAGGCACAAGGTACTTGCGACGCAGCCTGCAACCAAAGATACAGACACAGGACAAACGAATCCCACTCAACATCGATACACACACAGATGCCAACTGGGCATCATGCGCGACAACAAGAAAGAGCACAACAGGATTTGTGATACACTTGTTCGGAGCAGCGATACACTTATGGAAGCACAGCACAAGCAACAATGGCACTTTCATCAGCAGAGTCAGGGCTGGTACAGCAGCACAGGAGAGCCTCTACATCAGCAACTTCATCAAGGAAGCATTTGGAGTACGCACCAACATCAGGATACACGCAGACAGCAGCGCAGCTAAACCATCACGATGCGAGAAGGTACGTCAAAGAAAGCAAACCACATTCAGCTGCGACACTCTCAACAAGCACATGCACACAGTTGGCCGGTGAGGCCATCGCAACCGTTTCACACCAGTAAGTACAGTAGTTAGCAAAACAACAGTTGCACAGGTCGCCTTTCCTTCTCTACAACGAAAGTGAAAGCGCTACAACTTAGTTTCACTTAGGATATCCGGAGCCATGGTACATCTTTTCTGGGAGTTCTACAACCCCCTTACAATGGTTTTTCTGCAAGACACATGTCAAACATGGATTTGCACCCTTTTTACCTTTTACATCAGTGAGGTACATTCTTCCTGACACATCGGACCAATGGACATGCAGGCCTTGACAGCGCGTGCTACATCAGATGAGCACACCGGAAGGCGATACGGCGCGCACTTGTTTACATCGCTGACATTTGTGGGATTTCACAACATCAATTGCATCAACGGCAAGGAGGCGCGCAACATCATGGAGTGGCACATCGAGAAGACCACAGGCGCAAACCGTGTTCTGTACGTCGCTTCTACTGCAAAAGAATACAACAGTTTGAATGGTGATTTGACTGGACTGCAGGCCAACATAAGCAGGCCATTTTGCGAGCACATGATCTACAACACCAGTCCATTTGATGCTCTCACAACTTTGACCTACCTCTTCAGAGCGCAAGATTTGCCAATACAATGTTCTCGACATGCTCGGGTCTACAGATCCTCAAGTACATCAGCCAGGTGAACACGTCGTGCGAGGAGCTCATCAGCAGCAGCCAACATGGACGAGGTTACAGCAGTGTCTGGAAAGAGGCCAAGAAACGCGCGAACATCATGGTCAACTGCGATTTTTGGCGGTACACATGTGGCACAGTCGGCCAGCTGGATACAACATTTGCTTGAAACAGCAGCTGTTTTACACCTGCTTTTGACACCACGACCCACAAGGAAGTTGCACAGCTTGGTACACATCCTTTTTACAGTGGCAACATCCATTTTCAACATTTCAGGAGAATGTGTACAACATTATCCTGAGGAGGCGTGTTAAATACTACATGCTTCTCGAGCAGTACAATTAAGGGGGGCATCCGCTGCCCATACATCCCAAGGCCTTGAGCCTATGTACAGACCTGCCTTAGTACAGCTACAGTAGACAGTACATCATTGCCCAGAGGAAAACAATTGCGCTTCACTTCACACACAGGTCATCACATCAGGTAATTAGGTATACAGTTGCTCCAAGTTTAACCTCCCCTACCTTTGTCTGCTAGAAAGCCCTTTTAGAGTTGAATGCAGTTTTTCTCGGATTGCCCCACGCGACTTGCCCAGCATCAGCTCAAACTAAGCAAGGATGTGCTCTTCAAAATCTAATGTGGAATAAGAAGTCCACCCATTTCAATTCTAATTAGAAATTGAACAAATACAATCCTGGAAGCTCCTTAAAAGCCTCACTCAAATCTATGTTGGGACAATACTTCTAATTGAAGCTTGTGTAAATCCTTATCGAATTCTCTTGAATTCTAAGGAAAAGCACAAGCAAGGCAAACACAGTGAGTTTTTTAGAACAAAAACCAATGGCATTCATTGAAACACATCTACGAGAACTTAGTCCGATTCCTATAACCGTGAGTCAATGACCCCTAAACCCTACACCCTAAACCTGTTAATTCCATTTTGAGGTTTGGTCAGAAGATGCAAAAACAAAAGCCGCTATATTGGAGCCACAAGTGAAAAGGTAAATCGTAAAATAGCAAAATTATGAAGCCAATGGCCTAAAAGTAAACAGGGAAATTTCCGGAATTTTTCTTTTACTTATTTTCTTGCATACTTTCTGGGCTGTTGGCTCCATATGTTGCTTTTTTGTCCGTTTTCAGTTTTGGGCCACTGGCTCCAACATAGCTGTTGTTTTGCATTTGCTGGCAGAACCTCGAAGAACACACTGCAAATACAAGTGAATTCTAAAGGAAGGTAGATCCATGGGGGGGAACCTTGCATATGTCTACACATGCTACAGTAGGCTGTGTGTGTAGTGTTCTGATTACGTCAACAAAAAGCGGAGCTGCTCTTTGCACAAAGCTAAGTTGGCACTGACTAGCAAGCCGCTGTTTAGTCAATAACAGTATTTGTGTTGACAACAGTAGCTGCCGGATATGTCCAAAAGTGCATTGGACGACACCACTAGTACTACTGACGTTGTAGTCAAGAGGCCAGTTGTTCATTGGCTCAAGCATCGACGTCATACACAAAAGGCAGACTTCATACATACATACATACATACATACATACATACATACATACATACATACATATATATATATACATACACATACATATATATGCATATGGATGTGGTGCCCCTCTACCAGGCCCTCTAATAGAAAGCCGTTAGAGTACACATGATCCTGTGCCACGGATGTGAAGCGTTTTACTCACTGAATGCAGTCCACTCTTGAAGCAGTCGGCGGATCTAGGTGAGGGATTTTGCATAGCCACAATGCCAAGGCGCAAACAAAAAAGATGCTGGACATTGGGAAAAAGCTGGGTGCAGAGACGCACGTCTTTTGGGGAGGTCGAGAGGGCTTTGCAACTGCCCTCAACACGAAGGCGACGAGTGAGGGACTGATGGACTGATCACATGTGATGCAGAAGCTGTTCTGATGCAACTCTTTGGGAGGTCAAGGATGAGCTGGACCACATGGCGAGCTTTCTGAAACTGGCCTTGGCCTATAAGAAGAAAATCGGCTTCTCGGCGCAGTTTACCATCGAGCCGAAAGCGCGGGAGCCTACAGCACATCAATATGACTACGATGCCCAGACTGTCATTGGGTTTCTGTACCAGTCGCGACCTGAGACTGTGTTCTGCGTGCCGAGGTGAATCCGTTTGACCCTACCGCATGGAGTTTTGTCAAATTCAGAGTTTCCGCAGGAGCCGGCATCATGCACTCCCCGAAACCACTCCTACATCGGCCGACTTAAATGCAAGTCCACACGCTGCCTGAAACTCACTATCCAAAGCCAATCTTGCTCGGCCGCAGCCAAGCCAACCAAGCCAACCCCTGCATGCGACAAATGCATCCCTACCCAGAATCAGCGCCCAGAGCCAATCTTGAAATCCCAGCTTTGATTGAAGCAATTGGATGAAGCCCTAGCAACCCGATGGACGAAAAGTCAGAGTCTGCCATTGAGCTAAGCTGAGGCATGGCCTTGAGAAGGACTTCAAGGTGAACATCGAGCCCAACCACACCACACTGGCAGGCGAAAGGGCGAAAGGGCGAAAGGGCGAAAGGGCGAAAGGGCGAAAGGGCGAAAGGGGATGGCAGGGAGATGAGAATGGAGAGGGACGAATGCGTCATGTCAAGCAAGTCGGGAGGCCATGACTACGAGCACGATTTGCGTATGGCATCTGCCCTGGGAATGCTGGGATCCATTGACTGCAATGCTGGCCAGCCATACCTTGGGTGGGACACGGACGAGTTCCCATCAGATCCGAGGTTGGTTTGGCCCAGACAGATGTCACTTTGCACAAGCCACATTTGCCTGACCCGTTCGACGGGTCCACTCTCTTGGCAGGAAGTCGCTGCTGTCTATGCTGATTGTGGTCGAACAGGGGGGAATTGCGCCGGGTGGCAACAACTTCGATTGCAAGCTGCGCCGTGAGAGCACCGACATCGAGGACGGAATTGCCATGTAAATGAATGGATTAATAGTGGTGTAGCGGCGGAGAATCATAGTGATGCTGAGAATGTCAAAGATGCTGGGGATGCCAAGGATGCTGGGGATGCCAAGCATGCCATGATGGATGCCGGCAATGCCAGGATGCTAGGAATGCTGATGATGGTGGACATGCTTTGAGTGGTTTGAGTGGGATGCTGGTGGAGGGATAAATAAAGACTTTGGGCCAGGACATGTTCATCGCCCACATCGGCGGCATGGACTGCTTGGCCCGAGGCCTCATTGGCGCCTGCAAGATGATTGAGGAGGGCCTTATGAAGAAAGCACTGGAGACCAGGCAAGCGCCACGTGCAAATTGCCACTTGGCACTGCTTGCCACTGCTTGCCACTTCTTGCGTCGGCCAGGTATTCTTCCTGGAGTAGCGCCTTGGCGAAGAAGGTGGCGGAGGGCAAAGCAAGCCTCGAAGAGGTCGAGGAGTATGCGCTGAAGTCGCCAGAGCCGTCGACATCAAGCGGCAAGCAGGACTGGGTTTTGATGCGCTGATTTCAAAGGGTCAGTGCTGTATTCCCTTTTCACTTGTTTTCAACGCGAGGAGTACTTGGAGCAGCTGATCAATCGCTACATATGAGCTGACACGAGCTGCAGTGCACTCTTGAGATTTTAATGTGTTCTAGTGAACTTCATCTCTTGAAACAGTCACAAGCATTAGGATAGGAATAGGAACAACATGGAAAAAAATGGAGCAAAAGAGCTGCGCGACTCATGCCCACCATGCGCACGCCGCACGTCGCGTGGCGCTTTGGCCAGGGCAAAGCTTCGGCGAAGTGGCCCTGTGCTGCCGGCGTGTTCGACGTGCCATGGGCGTGGGCAAAGCGCCAAAGCGCCTTACGCGCCGCGCCTCTGTGCCTGACGCGCCAGGCTCTACTGCTCCCCACGGGCGGCCACCGTGAGGGTAGGGCCCTTGCGCGTTGCCCTTGGGCGTTGGCGTTTGGCGCTGCCGTTCCTTAGGCGCTGACCAACTCCGTGGTTTGGGCGCGCCTTCGTTCTCGCAGTTCGCCCGCAGTTCGCTGGCAGTTCGCTGGCAATTCTCGCCATTCTCGCGACACGTGCGGCACTTCGCCAGGTCCTGGACCGCGCGCATTTCAAGGACATCCTGCTGAAGGCATCCCGTTCTCGATCCGACAGCCTTCACAAAAAACCTTGGAGGCCTCGGAAGCCAAGATCCAGGAGTATCGAGGCACGTGGCAAATGCACATTCCATTGTCTCGAGACATTTTCTGAGGTTACTTGGATAATGTGCCACTCCTGCCACTGCCCAACTGTCCCATCCAACTGTCCCACGTCCAAGTGTCCAGCTTCGCTGTGCTCAGGTCTGCTCTGCTGAAGGAGGAGAGGAATGAGCTTGCTCGGGTGGGGCTTGGCCACTCAGAGCTCGTCACGTGTTTGTTCATGAGGCACTCGTTGAGATGCACTTCTCCGAAGGCCCAGTTTGAGCATTGCGCATTTCCCCGTGTCAGCGGAAGGAATGTCCTTGTCGCTATTTCCATCTGCCAGGTGAGAAGATCATCACGCAGCACGAGACGGGGAACACTTTTTACATCCTTTTTGCAGGTAGTGTTGACGTGTACAAGGCAGGAGAGTATTCCCCGGTGAGAGAGCAGAACCGGCATTCTCATCGTTTCTTTCAGGACGAGATGCAGGTCACATCTCTGGAGGTGAGAGGGCTACTCATGAAATTCCTGCTGAGTTGCTATTTCCAGGCCAGCGTGAGCCGAAAGACTGCCCAGTACTTCGGGGAATATGCCCTGTCTGCCCGGCAATTGCACGTTGCATCGCACTTGGAACTGCAGCAATACGAGGATAGAGAACGAGAAGCGCACCGCAACCATCCAGGCAGTCCGACGGTGCAATCGACGCTTCGAGAAGCTTTACGTGCCAGGTCCGGTCGCCAACGGCGAGGTGCCTGGTCTTGGATCGCGACTCCTTCCAGAAGCTGCTTGGGCCACTCAAGGAGAATGCTCGAAGAGCCGGCGATGGGTTGCAAGTGTCTTTCGATTTACGGTCTCCCTCGTTGAGCGTGAGGAGATCATTGAGAGCCACAAGGCCATAGGGAAGGATCGCTGGGCGCAGGAGCGCCGGCCTGAGAGGCGTGTTGCAGTCCCTTAAGGTCAAGGCATCTTATGTCTAGGCACAAAGGCATCTCAAGCATCCGAAGCATCCGCAGCATCCGCAGCTCCAGGCGCACTTCCGGCCCAGAGGCGGCGCTCGCGGCGGACCGCGAGAAGATCTTCAAGCAGGAGCGACGTGAGAGACGCGTCGCGCGCGTGGCGTGAGAGGCTCATGTCACGACTCTCCTGCTTTGAAGATCTGTGAAGCCGATTGAATCCGAGGACCTGTCGTATGTGGGGCTGCTGGGGGTTGGAGGCTTCTCCAAAGTGGAGCTCTGGCAGCACATGGCCCGGGCCTCAGCGCGGCACACCGCAAGGCCTGACCGGAATCGGGAGCGGGGCCGGCTTGAGGTGAGTGGGACCAGCTACGCCCTGAAGGTCATGGACAGGGGTGCGCCTGGGTTTAGTAGTGAGGGGTCCGTCGCAAGCTCGCAGTGTGTCACAAGCCAGGCCACATCCAGAAACACGGGATGGAGGAGTGTGCAACGGGCTTGCACGCACGAGTGGGG